CTCATAGGAAAACCACAACGAAATGGAAAGAGTAGGAATTTGGAGTCAAAGATATAGGATAGAGTTCTGGTTGTACCACTTTCTAGTGATGTGAAATAATGTGTTAAATTCTATAGGGATTAGTTTTTCTCATTTATAGGATTGATCTATGTTATTTTAAAGCAGCTTTTGTGAAAGTATTTTTATAAATAGCTATTCTGTAATAAAGAACAATGGAAATCATGAATTTCTGTAATGATTGTGATAACTCTCTTTGAAGGCTGTGTTGACCAAGGGTGGTGTTTTCCTTTCCTAGAAACTTGGTGAGCGCTGGACGGCGGTGTGCCGTTGGACCGAAGAACGCTGGAACAGATTACAAGAAATCAATATGTTGTGGCAGGAATTATTGGAAGAACAGGTATGAAACTGTTATCCAGAAGAGGAGAAACAAATAGTGAAAAGTAACCCATTTTTTATTAGGGCATTAGAATACAGCTACATTCTTTAGTTTTCTTTGAAAGGAAAATATATAAATAATTACTACTTTAAAAATCAGATTTCTGTCCATTTTATAACTGATCATACAGAATCTTTATAGAAATCACATCATATGACTCCATTGTAATAATACTTAATTTGATCTGTATTCATCATTCGGAATGTTAGTACTTAGATATCATGATTTGTTTGACATTACAATTATTATTGGATTTCTGTTGGGTAATGTGTATGAATTTGTATCAGCACAATTCCTACTGTATGGTTTATGTTCAGTAAAGAATGTGTAAAGGAAACCATTCAATACATGGTGAACTTTAAAGCACAAGAATTTTTCTTGATTTTTAACTGGCATAAGTACTGAAATTAATGAGAAAATGTTATTTGGCAACACCTTTGATTGAATGCTTGGTTAAGAGTATATTTTTCCACTAAGGATTACCACAGCAAATGAACCGATGGCATGAAGCTCCCACCTTAATTTTTCAGTCGGAAAAGGAGGCCCTTTGCCCATCTTATGTCCTTCCAGAAAAGCAACCAACAAAACAAAATACAAATAAGCAAAACTTTTCTCCCAAAATGCCAAACAGTTGTGGTTTAGAAAATAAGCAGATACTCTATTCCCACATATCCCAGTGTCCATTTTGATTCTTTTAAATACATTTCATTTCCGTCCACAAAGAGCAACTATATTGTCTTCAGGGGAAATAAAACCCCAAGCGTATGATGTTTGTGGTTTACTAAATATGGTGGCAGATAGTACATCTTAAAAAGTAGGTTGCAAAATTTGTCCAAATATAAATTGTTAATCACTACTCCCCCCCCTCAAACTTTGGTCACAATTTTCTTATTAAGAATCACATGATGAGCCTGATTCTGATTTCTGATATATTTGTGTTTCACTTTACAAAGATTTACATGTACTTGGAACCTTGTATTCAAGGCCAAATAATCTCATGGAATAGTTAAAATTTTACTTCTGTAATGACAACAGGAGACATTGATTGCTAGAGAAAACCATTGTGTTATTCTTCTACCCAGTAAAATAATTTCAAATTTGGAAATAGCTTTACTTTGATAATTTAAAAAAATGTTCAAAAAGAGGAAGTGGCCAGTATTTTGGTAACTTGTATTACTTTAGGTTTTAAACTGACCTTTGAGTCATGTTCTACTAGTGATTTGACATTTGACTATATCTTTTGTGTGTGTATGTGGTGTTTGTACTTTCTATCTTGTGCCATAGTTATTTATGTGCATATCTTATCAGCCGTACCAGATTGAGGGCAGGATCCATATTTGTCTTTTAGTTTCCTAACCTTTCTTTTTTTTTTTTTTTGGTGGAATGTAGAGGTGAGAAATAGTTGTTCAATAAATTGATCAATGAAACAAGTGAGAAAGAATCGATCCCATTGCAAAGACAGAACCAAGATTTTTTCTTTCCGGCTAAATAGAAAAGGATTTCTGTGGGAGATGCTATATTTTGGGAAGAATTATCTCAGTGCAGCCACAGTTGTTTTCCGTCTCTCCTCAGGGTCATCTCTCTACGTCATTAAATATATTCTGCCTAAAAAACATGCACTGATGCCAGTGAAGTTTACAATTCTGTATATTGGCTTTGGGCCATCCTCAAACTTCCTTTTTAAATCATAATTGTTGTTGAACTTTGAGCATCAGTGTGGCTTTCCTGCATGATGCTGTGGAAAGACCATCGGTTTAGGGATGGGTTCTTGATCCAGCTCTGCCATTAGCTAGCCAAGTGATCTTGGACATGTAACTTAACTTCTCTCTCCTTCCTCTTAAATTGAGGATCTAGAACAGGACAATTACTGAGCTTCCTTCTGCCTCTCGAGAGTTACAATGTGATTTTTTTGGGAGACTTTTGGATAGTTGAATTTACCCTTTCTCCTCTACCCACCTCTTGAGGCTTAGTTACCCAGGTGTGGGGTAATATCAGGTTGAACTGTTGCAAATATGAGATGGATAATATTTTAAAGAAGGTGTCTTTGTGGATTATTTGTGCATTAGACTTAGGTGTTTGAGGTCTTTCTTACCCCCAGGTAAGAGTGAAGCCTCTAATAAATAAAAAAAAAAAGTTAGAAATGTGGGAACTTGATTAAATTGAATTAACAAATGATGCTGCAGATATATTTTCAACTTTTTGTTATTACTTGTAGTGCTTGTTAAAAGCTTGGTTAACCGAAAAAGAAGAAGCTTTAAATAAAGTCCAGACAAGCAACTTCAAAGACCAAAAGGAACTAAGTGTCAGTGTTCGACGTCTGGCTGTAAGTAAAAGTAATGCCATTGTCAGCATCTGTGTTGTAAGCCTACGATATCTTAGTGTTTTATATCAATGGTTAATACAATTTAGTGAATACAGACAATGGCTCATTACCCAATACTAGACCACTGCCATGCAATGATTTGGAACCAGGAGTCTTATGTTTAGCACAGTGAACTATATAACATGTAGATTTTACTACAAAATATGCATGTTTACATTTCTTGGCTGGGGACTGGGAAGATAAAATCCTGTTAATGGAAAATTGTCTAATAAATATCTGAAATACTAGATTTTGAAGGAAGACATGGAAATGAAGCGTCAAACATTGGATCAGCTGAGTGAGATTGGCCAGGATGTGAGTCAGTTACTTGATAACCCCAGGGCATCTAAGAAGATCAACAGTGACTCAGAAGAACTGACTCAAAGATGGGATTCTTTGGTTCAGAGACTAGAAGATTCATCCAACCAGGTACCTTTTGATTTGGATAGTATGTTGTGCCGTTAAATAAAAATTTAAGTTTCAGTGTTCAGGTTCATTTCAGTTTTTATGACATAAAAATGTAGTAGGTGAACTAAAAAGTTGGTTCCTTACACCTGATGAAAAACCGACATGTGAGAGTCTTCTCTTTCAGTTTTTTAAAGTAAATTTTAATAGTTCTTCAAAAAACATATTAATATACCCAGTAATTTAATTTGTAGTAACTGATAACACTTAGGCAGGTATCCAATAATCTTAAAATATTAAATCTTAAATAATCTTATTGATCTTAAAAATATTTTAATGAGTTGATCAAAAATAAAATTTTGGTTTGTACATGAATGTTCATAGCAGCATTATTTATAATAGCTCAAAAATTGGAACAACCCCAATGTCCATCAACAGATGAATGGATAAACAAAATGTAACATGTGAATTATATCTTAGTAAAGCTGTTATAAAAATTTAAACATTGGTTGATTTTTATTTCAGGTGACTCAGGCTGTAGCAAAGCTGGGAATGTCTCAGATTCCTCAGAAGGATCTTTTGGAGACTGTTCGTGTAAGAGAACAAGTAACTGCAAAAAAGTCTAAGCAGGAGCTGCCTCCTCCTCCTCCTCCAAAGAAGAGACAGATCCATGTGGATATGGAAGCTAAGAAAAAGTGAGAACAGACAGAGAAATTTTTCAAACCCAATACTGCACATAATGTATTTGATACTTGCTACTTATTTTGTACTGTTGCTAATCATACGCAAATTTAGACATAATTAGTATTATGGAAATTCAGCTACTGAACCACTCACTGCCCCTGAGTCTTCTGAATATTCTGCTTCACACTAGCTAAGCATCTCAATTGTCTTGAATGGTTTTATTTATCCGGTATTCACTTTGGAGAACTGTGTAGCTGAGCCCTTCTTTCTTCCTTTCCCATCATTCACCTTGTCCATGACTCTATGTATTTGTTCTTTCACTAGCTACAATGCTGACAGTTTTGCTTTGACATCCTCATTCTTTGTCAATCCACTTTCTCCTCTCACCATTAAAAAATACTTGATTCAGGGAAATAATTCACTTTTAGTCTCCGTTTTTTCTTTCTTTTCCCCCCTCATTCTTTTTCACGTTTTGTTAATTTCTTTGTCAGATTCATTAGCATATTCTTGTTTGACTTAAAGATCCATCTTTGGCATAAAACGTTTCTTTTCATCTTGTTGATTCAAAAGAAAACTTAGGATCTTTATAAGAAGGATAATTGCGACTGATACATACTGTGCTTTTACTGATGTCAGATATTCTATTAAACTCTATGGTGTCCCAGGTACTGTAACTTACATGCCCTATAGCAGATAATCCTCAAAATAGCTGTTGAAGGGTACTATTCTCCTGCTTTTACAGTAGAATCCCAGTGCTTGGGTAAGTGAGCAATTATTTTGAGGCTGAATAAAAATGATATGCTTTCCCTAATTTAGCTTATGTTGGACAAAGCAGGATTCCAATTTTACCAGATGTTTTTATTTTGATAATAAGGCTATGTTTCTGCCTCCTAATAGCTTCTGCTTACAGGATCAGTGCACCTCTGAGTTGCAAACAGCAGTGGTCGAATGTTTACTTGTGGAGCTGAGGCAGCACGGGAGAAAGATGCTTCTGATGTTAATATTAGAATAGATCTCACATTTCCTCAGTGCATAATATCTGCCAGGTATGTCTGGCAGTGTATCTTTCTAATGCTGACTTCGTGCATTTGGGAGCACAGAAGGTTGTAAAAGACTAGGGTGCGTAACTGTGAAATCTTCACTTAAACATGACCGTACTGTGTAGAGTGCATTCTGCTGTAAGAAACAGAATACCATACCCAAAGTGACTTAAATAATGAGGTCACTGATGATATTACATTGCAAGAAGTCTGGAGGTAGGGCAGTTTTAATGGGAGGTGCGGTTTAGCAACCCTCATCTGTGGTCTTTGTCATCCTTGGATGTTGGCTTTCACCTTCAGCTTTGTCATCTCAGCAAACTAATCCCCTGGTCTCACTGGCCAGGATTCAGTCACTTGCTTGTGCCCTGGGTGCAAGGGAGGTTGAAACTATCTAACCTCTTCAGTCTCTGTGGTTGTGTTTTGGGGGACTCAGACAGCAAGGAAGAAATGTGGAGAGGGGTTGTCTGTTGGGTGGGCAACGAGCCGTGAGGGCCACAGCCATCAACTCCACGATTTGATGGATGCAGAAATTCCTTCACTTAATTATTAAACAAATAGAGTCTTGAGTATGTCCGGTTCATTACAGTTAAATCTCCTTATTAGAAAGGTTATTTTTATGCTCAAATTCTGCCCCCTCTAAGTTTATCCACGTGTGCTAGTTCTTTCTGGAGTGATACAGAGCCATGTAGCCCTCTTCAATCTGTCTCCCCAACCTTTGAAGATAACTTTTACGTTCTGATTTTCATTTTCCTAAAGTTCAGAGTATCCTTCACCGTTCCTAGTGTGACATGGTTTCCAGACTCTTTCGTATCTTCAGTCTGCTGTTGAAACCGCTATTAGCTTGTCTTAAAATGGACGGCCCTAACAGTTGAGAGCCTTAAATAACTGCTTAATGCACTGCCTAGTTTAAAATACATGCTTAAAAAATGGCGGCTTATTGCCCCTTTTCTTCCCTGGGTGTTACTAGTGGGTGTTTTTACCGGCTCAGGGTTTAGTGGGGCCATCATTTCTTAGAATGTGGATATCCATTACTGTGGCCTGGATCATCACATCACTCTTGCTCATATCGAGGGCAGAACTTGACTGAGTCTCCAAGATCATTTTAAATGTGTGATCTTTCTGTGGCCCTCCTCTACCCTGAAAGATTAAACAGAACTCTGCTGTTAAGCTGACAGGAGGAATGTACTCCTGTTTGAGCGACAGCTCAGTCCCCGGTTATTTATCTAGAGCATCACAAAATCCCTTACATGTTACAAGGAAAATTTACCTTGATGAAAAGACAAATATTCACAATTCACTAGAAACACTTTAAACGAAGTTTCCATAAAAATAAGCAATGACACCCTGTGCTCCTGCCTGCATTACTGAGAACTCCGTGGGGAGGGCACTGGTTAAGAAGACAGTCCAGCTCGGGGTGAATCCCAGCCCTTCCATCTGTTGGCTTTGTGGCGTGGGACAGTTAACGGAAACCTCTGTGAGCTCAGTTTCCTTCATCTCTACGAGGGATGATAATAGTATATACTTCACAGGGTAGTTGTGAGGATTCCTGGAGTTAGCGATGCACATAAAACACTTAGAAAGGGCCAGGTATGCGGCAGCAGTCAATGCCCGTTTCCCCTCTGCCTCCTCTAGCTGTGGTTTGACCTGCCTTGTCAAGACCTCTCAAGCCTGTCCTCTTGTCCTCCTTCCTGTTGTCACTATCGTAGTTCTGGCTCCTGTTGGTACCACAGCCTTTCTCTGCTCTCGCCTCTTTTCCATGCGTTCTCCTCAGTGAACACTGAGAATGTGAATAGAATCACGTCAGTCCCATGCTTCAGACCCTCCCTTGGCTCTCAGCTGCCCTTTTGTTAAGTCCAAACTCCTAATTATGTCCTGCAAGGCCTTCCAGTCACTGGTCCGTGTGGTTCTTGGCCACGTTTTCCATTGTCTCTCCCTGCAAGTGCACTACTCACTATTCCAGACACACCTAACTGCTTGGAGTTTGCAGAATGTGATCGTCCCTGTGTTCTCCCTTGGCAAGGAAAGCTGCTGAGCACAATGCTGTTGTTCTCCTGTAGGGACCCGTCCCTTCCCTGGCTGGGTTAGGAGCTATTCCTGTGAATTTCCGGATTAGTAGTTAGCAGATTCTTTGGTTATTAATTTCCATTGCTTACTAGTCTAGAAGCTCCTTGAGGTCTGATATTTATGTATGGTTCACCTTCGTATCAAGAGCCTCACCAATGCCTGGCGTATGGCAAGGCTCAAACGGGACATATTGAACACAAGAAGGCATTGACTTTAGGAATGTCTGTACTCGTTCTTTTCTGATATTATCTAACCAAATCTGGGTTCGTTATCTGTTAGAGTTTGTAAAAACACAAGTGATTCCTTATAAACTTACAATTTTTTTAATATATGA